AAAGGGGAAAGAAGGTTTTGTGTTGAAGATTGATTTTGAAAAAACATATGATCATCTAGATTGTGATTCTTTGGATTTTGTGTTGGAAGAAAAATGTTTTATTTGATAAAACACACAGAATCATACACACAAATTTTCAACTTACACGGAAGTCAAATGGATGCCTTCTGGACCCAGAAGAAAAGGGATTTGGTGTGAGATGAAGTGGATTAGGGGATATGGAATTGGTGAATTTTCGGGTCATTATGAATGAGAAACTTAGAGGTAGATTTAAGGCATTCAGGAGATTTAGACAAGGGGATCCTCTATCACTGTTTTTGTTTACCTATTAGCGGATGGATTAAGTAGATTGATGGAGAGGGTAAAAAGATCTCTCATTTGCAATTTGTAGATGACACTATTTTATTTCTTCAGGGATGAGCAAAAACTAAGAAATTTAAAGATGAATGTTAATGTATTTGGAGTCATCTCCGCACTTAAGATTAATATGGATAAAGAAGTTGTAGTGGGCATCAATTCTAGTCAAGGGAAGGTGGGTAGGATGGCACGGGAAGTGAAATGTGTAGTGGGTGAGTGGCCATTGAAATGCCTAGGTTTTCTTTGGGGAGACAACCCATTGTCTAGAACTTTTTGGGATCATGTGGTTGAGAAAGTGGGAGGAGGAGATAAGATAGATGGAAGAAATCTTTTATTATTATTATTATTATTTATTTTTTTTGGGTTGGGGGGGAGGTCTCTTTTTAAAATGCTTGGGGTGATGGCTTAAGGAAATTGGATGTCTAATGAGGGATTTCTTATGGGAAGGGGTAGGAGAGGGAAGGAAGGGTTATTTTATTCGCTGGAAAGTGATGAGTTGGCCAAAAAATAAGGGCAGATTTTCGACCGGGAATTTAGTGAATAGGAATGTAAGGTTGGTGGGAAATGGCTTTGGAGGTTCCTTTTTGAGCAAAATTCATTGTGGTATGTCATTACTAAGAGCAATGAGCAAGTATGGGTTACAAGCTAATGAGTGGGATGTTAATGGGGTTGGAAGGGGGATTTTTCGAAGTTCGTGTAAGTTCATCTCTCAGGGTTTACCTTGTTTTTTTCTCTAAGAGTTAAGTTTATTGTGGTTGACGGAACTAAAGTGCATTTTTGGTAGGATATCTATGTGGGCGAGTCTTTTTTCTCTGGTCTCTTTTCTCAACTGTATCCAATTTCTTGTTATTAAGATGCTCGGTTGCATTTATGGTTTGGTCATACTCTCAGCCGATTTCTTGGGATTTTAGTTTTCGTAGAAATCTAATGTTAGGGAACGTTTGAATTTGATGAATCTTTTTTCCAAGCTTAATAATGTTATGTTAACTCCTAACTTGGAGGATAGGACGTATTGAATTGGTGATCCAACAGGTAAATTTTCTTGCAAATCTTTCTTTGAATTTTTAATCAATGGTGCTTTACTTCCTTATTTCGATCCATCTTGACAATTTGGAAGGTTAAAGTGCTTTTAAAGGTTCAAGTTTGTGCATGAATCATTGTCCATGGTAAGGTTAGTACCAATGAGGTACTTCAAAAGAGAAGACCTAATTTTTGCCATCAACCGCTATGGTGTGTATGTGTAGAGGTGATTATGAGAGTATATATCACTTATTTTTGCTATGTCCTTTGACATGAGTTCTTTGGAATAAGCTTTTTGACTATGCAAATTTTTCTTGTGTCACACCAAAGGATATGAAATCTATGTTTTGTTACATGATGAGGGAATTTGGGAGAAATACAAAATGGAAGATTATTTGACATAATGTTTTCTTTGCTATTTTATGGGTGATTTGAAAAGAAAAGAATGTAAGAATTTTTTAGGATAGATGTGACGAAGTTGAAGGATTATGGGATATACTTCTTTTTTTTTGTTTCTTTTTGGACTTCAATGGCTAAGAAGTTAGATGACATTCCTCTCATTTGTATTAGGGCAAGTTGGAAAGCTTTTGTGTCTTGTAATGTTGTCTTTATTGTGTGTTTTTCTTCAATAGTCAATTGTGTTGGACTCCTTGGCTTTCCCCAAACAATATCTACATTGTTCAAATCCGAATTGCACCAACTTGTAAATGAATATGAATTTGGTTTCTCTCTCAAATGCCTCACTTTAACCTCTGCTAGGTACTTCTGAATAGCACAAAACCCTTCATTCCCTTGTAGTTTCTTTATTAATCGCCATTGATTTTCAAAAAAAGCTTCATTCAACTGACCCACCAAGTCTCGTAGCTCCTTTTCCTTTGCTGTTTCAAACCAAAATACAGCCAGTGGTAGCAAACCAAAATATATTCCCAATCATATACTCCGGCATTGGTGGCACCATTCTTGATCCCCTGTTTACTACATACAATAATACAGGGGTGCCGGGAACCATTTACTACCTCGGCAGCAGCCATGGCGTGCTTCCAGATGAAGCATGGCAATGCTTCAACTTTGCTCGGGCGAGGCACGACTTTGCTCGTGGCTTTAGCCCTGATGCTGGATATCAAGGCAATGAAAGGGAACAAATTTGTGCATAAGCTCGAGTTCGGGTTTGTAAGGGGTAGAAATCGCTACGAGATTTCAGCCCTCCACTCAAAAGATTTCGGCTTGACCTAGGTTAACCCATTGGGTGACCCCCCAGTAGCCTTTACCCCTCTTCGCCCGCAGGAGCTTGTCCCACATCAGAAGAGAGTTGTCTCTCCCCCTCGCATATCTCCTCCTTTGAGTGCAAGGACTTGTATGCGAAGGGGGGAGACGACTCTCTTCTGACGTGGGACAAGCTCTTGCGGGTGAAGAGGGGTAAAGGCTACTGGGGGGTCACCTAATGGGTTAACCCAGGTCAAGCCGAAATCCTTCGAGTGGAGGGTTGAAATCCCGTAGCGATTTCTACCCCTTACAAAAATGGCTAGTGGGTACCTCCTCTTTTGAGTGCAAGGGCTTATATGCGAGGGGGGAGACGACTCTCTTCCGATGTGGGACAAGCTCCTGCGAGCGAAGAGAGGTAAAGGCTACTGGGGGTTGCCCAATGGGTTAACCCAAGTCAAGCTGAAATTCTTCGAGTGAAAGATTGAAATCCCGTAGCGATTTATATCCCTTACAGGATTTATTGAGAAGCTCAGACAAGGTGCCTCGTAAAATGGGACACGGCCGCGTCGTTTCGGTCAATAGACATCCGCGAACGGGTAGAATCGTGTAGGGTCTTGGAGAGAGAATTTTGGCTGTGCTATTGACTGGTTAATTTTGGGATCAATCTTGGGGAAGAAGAAAAGAGCTGGAACACAGCCTACAATAGTGATCTGGTCCAAGAGGGAGAGTTTGAAACTTCTTAGATGGGGAGGTGTTTGGGAACATGGCTTGATCATTTCCCTTGAGAGGATTTCAACTTCCATTTCCACCGAATAGGAAATTCAGTCGTTTGTTACAAGAATGTAAAATCAGTGTTCTTAGGGCAAGCAAAACCAACTCAAAGTGAAGCGATTTATTCTGAGCGAGAAGCTGCATTAGATTAAAAAAAGCTAGACGTTTCTTCTTTTTATAATTCCTATCATGCGAGCTTGCCCAAATTGTCAGTGATTCGAACAAAGAGGTGGGACAAAGTCTTCCTCGATTGAAGTACCATATCAATGAAAACACAAAAAACCATTCCTCGAGAACAAAACAATCTAAAGAGGGATATAACTTAGTCAACTTGCGATCAATTAGACTGTATAATCTTTGCTTGGAACACCTATAACTATTCAGTTAGCGTCTTTCACTTATTGGATCAAATGTTTTTCAAAGCATCGTTATTCCTAAGTGTAGCCTTGGCAACTCTCAATTTTAGAGTGAACCACTAAAATTCAAATTCTAATAGGTTCTCTACATTTGGAGAATAAACTCAAAGCTAGAGAGTTGGACATTATAGATTCATTTTCTCGAGTTCTAAGACCGGCCACCGTAACTTGAGCTAATTTAATGACATATTCCCTAAGAAAGAAAGGTGGCTAGCCCTTAGGGTTATGCGAAGTGTAGAACCTGAGACCTCTTACTTGCAAAATGACGGACTTGACTACTGGACCACTCATAAAGATTTCTCTTCCATCAATTCATTTTCTCTCTCTTATGTAACTCTCTCCTCTTTATATTTTTTTTGTCATATTCTCTATTCTTCCTCTTCCATTAATTCGTGTCTATCTTCTATTTCTCTTTTTGTCTCATGAAGTCAATAAATTAAGATTATCTTTTCTCTCTTCTCCAACATATAATTAATAACAAACTTCAAGAAAATAATTCTCTCTTTCTTGATTATATCTAGGGCCATGAAAGCATAAACCTTCTTAAATCTTGATTGAGTTGAATGCTTCACATCTACAACTCAATAGTAAAAACTATTTAGCTCTTGACCAATTTTTGGTAATGATGATCAAGTTGAAGCATAAATTTTGAAAATCAAGTATTTTACTGTTTCAATGGTTAAGTTGTGATGATTCATTGACTGTGTTGGGATTTGGTCACTGTGGTTATTGTCTAAACAATGAAATACATATATCACTATTCATAGTCGAAGACAACAAAATACACATTCTATTGTCAAAACAGTGAAATATGTATTTTATTGTTTGTATAAACTGTGAAATATGTCGAACACACGATATTACATAATGGAATTAGATATTTCAATATTTAGAACCACCTATTTCTATTCACTCTCCATCTCCCTCTATAATAAAAACCCATTACACATACCAGAATAACAGCAATTAATACGGCCTCATACATAAATGTTGCTTAAGGCCTTAGTTTGGCTCGGGCCGCCTCCACAATACGTGACTTGATAGATAGACACATATGGGCTATCACTAACATGTCCTCAACTAAGATTATGCCTAAGTTTCAAGGAACTTACTCTTCTTTGAAGATTCAAATTCCCTCCAACGCACTTTCTCTCACTAGTAAACTAATAATTATGTGGATAACGAACTTATATATTTTGTCTTATATTTAAAGGAACGTATATTAGAGAAGATTTGAATCATCTTGATTTTCCGGAGAGAGTCTAATATTGGTTCTTAATTTTTGAATTATTTTAGTTAATTGCACAAAGTTTCTAATTTCACTCTAAACAGCCCCATCCAAAAGTCGTATTGGACTGATAATAAATGAAGAGGATATGATATGATCTTTTAGGTGAGTTATGTCAGATGTAACCACTAGTTGGTGGGAGAGTGTAAAATTCAAAGCAAATGAGAGAGAATCAAAGTTTGTATCTTTTGGGTCCCTTATTCTATAATATTCTTCAGCCGAATTAACTTATATTATAAAGACCAAAAATATAATTTGGGACCCCTCATTTTTTGGACACCCTAAGCAAGCATTTCACTTGCTTATGGTTTTAGTAGGCCTTAGGGTGTGTAGACTTGCATCGATTACTCTCTCGAGGTCGGATACTGGCCACCATAGTCCGAGCGATTTAGAACATATCCCTTGAAGCGCAAGAGTAGCTGACCCTTGGAGGGTGTGAGAAGTGTTGAGCTTGATACCTCTATGTTACCAAAGATCAGGGTTAGCCACTGAATCACTCTAAGAGCAATCTCCAATATTACTCTCTATTTTAGAGAGCATATTTTGCTAAAATAGAGAGTATTTTTAGTAAAAAGTTATAATAGAGAGTGAATTTTTATACACCACTCCAATAGAATTCTCAATTTTTATCGCTTTATCATTTTATGTTGTCTTTTTTGACAATAAATTGATTTCTCTCCTATTTTTCTTTTATTATTTTAAATGAAATACATTTATCTTAAATGTCTTAAATGAAAAGGTAAATATATCCCCTTTTTTTTTTGGTTTTTAAAAAATAGAATATAGAGTGAATTTGACCCTCAAAATATAGAGAGTCTAAATAAAGAGTCCTTGAAGAAGAAATTTTATGGGTTGACTCTCCATAATATAGAATTGAGTGAGAATAGAGAGTCTATTCGAGATGGACTAAAAGTTATAAAATTTGTTAAATTGTTAAAGTTAATTACTTTCCTTTGTCGGATGCTACCAACATATTTGTTGCAATACAATAATGGCAACAAGTATTTAATTCATGCACACTCTCATCTTTAAGGTTGGTCTATATAAAGTGTTGCTCAACTCTAATAACTTCTCGCTTAAGTAGTACTAGAATAGAAGAGATGTTTCTTCAAAAAATTTCTCATTGTTTTTCTCATTGTCACTGCAACTACGTTGGTTAGAATTGGAAAATCATCTCTTCAAAATCCGAACATTTCTGTTCAGGAGTCAAACAAGGGGCGAGACGTTAATCCCCACACCCTCAATTCGATTCTTTCTATTCCCATAAAATTCCAACCTAGTGAGTTGAAGTGATTTATAAAAAAATTACGTGACATTCGAGATTTACATTACAAATATGATTTTAAAAGACGCATGATTGTGACGATTTCCCGTTACGGGGCAAAAAACATCTCTTTTTTTTTTTTTTTTTTTTTAATTAATTTGTTTACTTTTCTTTTGTCTTATTTTTGCGTCTTTTGGCAGATGGGGCAGACCAACTCTGCGTAAAGAAGTGTTTGGGAGTGCTCGCTGGTCCAGCATGCAATAGTCGATGCAAGGCCAGTAGCCAGGGGGATTGTACTGGTGGTGGATTCATAAAACTATATGTGATTTTATTTTATATTGTCCCAAAAGTGATCATACTTAGATCAAAACACTATGTATGGATGGTATGAACTGTCTAAACAAGAATTCTTGAACAGTGAACAACCAGTTCAGATATTCACGACCAAGAAGTATTGGATTCTCTTTCGGGTAGGCCCTGAAAGGCGAAGGAAGGCTGGAATGCCAACAGGCGTCTATTATTGAATTCACCCGACCCGATAGTACCCATTTTGGGAACGTCCAGTGCCAAAGTCACTGAATGGGTAAGTCGCCAATCCCTAAAATGAACTATTGGGTTACGGGCGTAATGCTCCAAAATCTGTTGTTGTCGATAGAGATGACTCAATCGACAAGCTTTTAAAAGTTTAAACCAAAGGGAAAGCATTGAATTGTCTATCTAAAGGTTTTTAAACCGAAGGGGAAGCATTGAATTCTTTTGAAAACCTAAGCGTATAGGAATTTTTAAAAATGTTAGGGGGGGCCATGGCCGGCCTTGGCCACTACTTAATTCCGTCAATGACTAAGTTAGGAGCCTTTTATTTATCAAAAAAGAATGATGGACAATTATACGGTAGTTTTTAAAGAATAAGAGGAAGTGTATTAAATGACAAAGGTGTCATCTTCGGTCCATATATGAGTTAGAACATTTTACATTTCATTTATTAGTCAATCTAAAACTAAAATATTTGATTTAGTAGATTAGAGTGCGAATGGCCCATTAACTTACCAAAAAGAAAATCAAAAGTCACTATACAAATTTTTGAAGACTTAAGAGAGAGCAATGTATAAACTAAATATAAAAAAAAAAATGTATAAACCAAACATAATTTATTTTTCTCATAACATATCATATGTAGTATTTATTCAAAATTCAGTGGGGACAACTGCCCCC